AAGAGTAAGTTTCAGACATAGTTCTCCTTTATCCTAAACAGTTCAATGTTTAGTTCCTAAAGACAGGTACATTCTCTTACACAGCTTCAGTACAATAGACAAAACCAAGCCCCTGCCTTCTTACTTTTGACAGTTTAGACTGTCTGAGGCCCATTTCATTGGGCCTGCTTGACCTCTTCTAGCTTCTGTCCTATTTTCTTGCTTCCCATTTCCTGACAGCAGAGCCTGTTTGCCCATGTCCTGTTGCAAACAGGGTGCCCATTAACTTAGCAAACATTTACTGAGTATTCACAGGTACTGGGGAGGAGCAGGAGGGTTTAGATTCCCCTTCCTGCCCCCGTATTCTCAGGACCATAACACTTATTTTTCTAGTCTATGTTCTGACCTCCCAAAGGCCGTCAGGAGACAAGTGGTGTTCAGCTTGTCTCCTTGTACTCCTTCCTGGGAACTGATACAGGTACAAGTGACATTTTAATCCCCCTCTCAATCAGGTGGAGACGATTGGAGATGCCTACATGGTGGTATCTGGTCTCCCGGGCCGAAATGGTCAACGCCATGCCCCGGAAATTGCTCGTATGGCCCTAGCATTACTGGATGCAGTTTCTTCCTTCCGCATTCGCCACCGACCCCATGACCAGCTGAGGCTACGCATAGGGGTCCACACAGGTAAGGTTAACGCTCACTCCAGCCCTAGTATCCACCTTCCCCAGGCTCTCCCAACCTGTGTCTCCTCATAGGGCCCGTCTGTGCTGGGGTCGTTGGCCTGAAGATGCCCCGCTATTGTCTTTTTGGAGACACGGTGAACACTGCTTCCCGAATGGAGTCTAATGGTCAAGGTGAGACATTAGCCCTCAATCTCAGCTTCCGTCTCAATCTGTGTCCCCCTTTTCTTCTTTTCAGAGTTCCTCCAAATCTCTCAATCTGAGACCACAGTTCCTGACTGCCCCATCCTTGGACATATTTAGGTTCTGGTGCATGGGCACTGGGAAGACCGAGAGCCTCCTGAGGGGTGGTGGTTGGGTAAAGCTTTCTCTGACACCACCAATTCTTCTGTTGCCTTTTCTTTTCTTCTTCTTTCCACCATTCCCCATCCCACCCCAGCCCTGAAGATCCATGTCTCCTCTACTACCAAGGATGCACTGGATGAGCTAGGATGCTTCCAGCTCGAGCTTCGGGGGGATGTGGAGATGAAGGTGACGGCAGGCCATGGGGAGAGGGTTGGAAAGGGAGGATGAAAGTGACTATGGGGATCATGGGGGAAGAGAGGGAGATAAAGGGAATAACATAGAAGAATCTGAATTATATCCACTCCCCTACTCCCAGGGAAAAGGAAAGATGCGAACTTACTGGCTCCTAGGAGAGCGGAAAGGACCCGCTGGACTTCTGTAAACCTCAATTCTTTTCAAGTCAGTCTCCTGCTACTGGTACCTGGGTAGGCAGTGGCTATCATCTCTCCATACACCAGACATGGACATTGTCATATGGGATGGAAACCAGCGTGCACAAAAATTCTATCTTATATGGAAGTTCTTGACCTTTGAAGCTCAGCCTTGTACATATACCTGCCCCTTTTTGGCCTGGTCCCCTTCTTCCCTACCTTCTGTATATATCTGTATCTAAACCAGAATATTTTGGTCAAATATAAAACAAACAAAAAAATAATGATGTCATAGTCGGGGTTAAGGGCAGTTCCAAGGAAATGTTATGGGTATGAACATGGAAACTCAGGGAATCACTGACTCAGGATGAGAAAGAATCCTTTATGTAAAGCCCCTTCACCAAGTATAAACAGAATTCACTTCCTCCCACCTTTCCAGTACAGACAGAAATAGATTCCATATTCCACATCTCACTTCCCTCCTCAACCCTTAGACAGTTCTACCCCCCTCACCACCCTGCCCTCTTCCCTGACAGCCAAGAGAAGAGATTTGTCCCAATTGGTGGGAATAATTCTCAGGTCCATCAGGAAAAGGCTGTTCCAGGGACAGAGGCACTGGTGTTGAGAAGCTGCAGTTCTTCCGGAATGGCGTGTCCAGTGTCTTGATGTTACTGACACCCTATAGGAATGCCAGAATAAGGACAGATCCTACTCTTTGCCAAGCCAGAAGAGAACAACCTCTTCCCTTCCTTCTTCCCCACTCCCAACATCTAGTCACCCTCACACACCGGTAGCTGTGGTGCCCTCTGTATCCAGAAAGTTTCGGGTTGTTCCTTGCAGTAGTCATGAGACTGAGAGGGAAAAAAACTGAATAACTCTTGGCCTGAAGCCCCCTTTCTAAACCTCTGGGTCTGCTGCTCCCCCACAGCCCCCCCAAAGCTCAGCTTTACATGTGGGGTGGAATGAGTTCTTACCTTTGTTGGGGCAGGAGCCCCTGCCTGCACCAGCTCCTTTTTGTAGTCATGGTGTGTCACAGACTCAACCTCAAATTGCTTCCTTGTCAGTTCTTGCTCTGCCTGCACCTCTTTACTATACAGTTATGGGGGCATAAAAGCCGTTCTTCCATGGTTTTTGTCCTCCCCCTCCCCTTTCCCCTTCATCCAGACTCTCACCAGATCTGGTGGCACAGCAGTATCTCCAGCATGGCTTCACGTTTTCCTGTGGGAGTGGGGGGTGGGGGCAGGGAGTGGACAGAGCTGACAAGTCTGGTTAGGAAGCAGGCGCAGAATAAACAAAGTTGAGAAAAGGAAGGAAAATTGTGGGGGGTTGCCCTTATACCCATTGGACAATCTATAGTCCCACCAGAAATTCCTTTTTCTTTTTTCTCTGACTAGTGGACTCATTCTGACCCATTCCCTCGTGCTCCACACCTCGAATTGGCTGACAGCGGTTTCGTGGGGTCTGGTATGCGTCTTTCTGGGTGGTGCTGAGGGGCATGGGTGATTGGAGCTGCAGGGTTAGCAGTCCCTGGTGTCCATGTCGGAAATAGAAGCTCTCGGAGCCATCCTGCATGCTTGGGACTTGATCCAGATGGTTGGTGGCTCTCTGTGGGCCCCAAGTTGAGTGATCATAATATCCTTTCTGTTACCCACTCTCATCATACACTACTATCTTCCCCAGGCAACTCCCTTTAAGAAAAGGGAGTAGGTCAAAACCTGAATACCTCTTCCTCCCAGTTGTAGAGAAGGCAGTGGCCCCGTGGCAATGTTTTACTGAGAACCTCACACTTCGCTTCAGCCTCAGGGGTCTTCAACAGCCCCCTTTGGGCAACAGGTTCTGAAACTGGCAAAAATGTCCAGGGTTGTTTCTGAGGCTCGCAGTATTGGTAGTGATTCCCGGAGGCATAATTAGGGACCAGCTTTGCCCCAGGATGTCTGGAGCTTGTAAGAGCGTTGGGGCTGAGCTCAGGGTCGGCACAACCAGGGCGAGAATCCAGACCAGTGCCTTTACTAGAACCATAGCCAGGGCCATGGCCAGATCTGGAGCCAGGAACAGGGCTAGATCTGGAGCCAGGAACAGGGCCAGATCTGGAGCTAGAAACGGGGCCAGATCGGGAGCTAGAAACGGGGCCAGATCCGGAGCCAGGAACGGGGCCAGGGCTAGAGCCAGGAACGGCGCTAGGGCTAGTGTTAGGGTAATCTGTAGAACAGGGATCCCGAGCAATATAGGAAACATCAGTCTTAAAGCCAAGTCTCCCATGGCCTATCTTGTGGGTAAAACTGGGTCCAGTGCAGGGCTTCCCAACAACACTATCAGAGGAGGGGTCCGAGAGAAGGCTTCGGTCAGAATAGGGCCCTGGGGTCTTTGCAGATAATACAGCTGCTTTGGCAGTGGAGACGGCTGCAGTGGCTGCAGCAGCTGCTGACGCTGCTGCCCTTGCGGCTGCCAGGGCCCTAGGAGTGACATCCCCTTCGGAGCTGGGCAGTACGGGTAAAGATCTGAAAGAAAGCGAATGCGTCAAAAGCTCGGCAGAGGAAGGAAGTCCGCTGACTTTCCTCGTCCCCTAATGCCTGCAGCCAGAGCTGCGGCTCTCACCGCGACCTCGTAGACTCAAAGGTCTTCATCTTCGGACACCAGCTACCCGGGTTGCCATAGAGACGGCAAATAATTCCCGGAGCCTGCGCAGAACTATAGTTGGGCGGAAGTGCGGGGGGGGCGGGGGGGGCAAGTTCCCTGCGGGGCGGAAGTCTTAAATCTGGTGCGGGGCGGGAAGTTTTCTTTCCGTTTGGACTCCATTCCCTCTCATCCCCGGCTTTTAAGGTTCCGCTGATCTAAGGCCTCTCCCTCCATACCGAAGCATGATTCTTTTAAGCTTTCTAAGGTGGTTGTGTTAGAGACAGGCACAGGGCTATTATGTAGGGGATAACAGCAGCTTCCCCGTAGCTCATTCTCAAAAGTGGGGGTAGCCTTTTCAAACATTTAAGAATGAAAATACACCAGACAACAGCTTAAAGGCAGAATGGTGAGACTCAAGGATTAGTCAAAGGGTAACAGCTTTTTTGGGGTGTGATTACTTCACCCCAGTAAAAGGCCCTCAACACTGACCACCCTCCTCCCAGATCCTCTTATAATTTGGATTGGCAGCTGGATAAAGGCCATGATAGAGCACATCTCACATTCAGTCTCTTTTTTAAAAAAAAAATTGATTTCAGAGAGGAAGAGGGAGAGCAAGATAGAAACATCAATGATGACAGAGAATCATTGATCGGCTGCCTCCTGCATGCCCCATACTGGGGATCGTGCCTGCAACCCGGACATATGCCCTGACCAGGAATTGAACCGGGACCTCCTGGTTCATAGATTGACGCTCAACCACGGAGTCACGCCAGCTGGGCTTAGTCTCTTCTTATTCATTCAGACTTATTCCTACTGCTACTTGTCTGGAAGCTTGACTCAGGTGGGCCACTAGTCATGACTCACAGATCTATAGGCAAATGCTTCTTTAAATACAGGAAGGGTCTCCTTCATGTCTCTTACTCAGACCATAGTCAAAGAGGATCATAACCTTTTCCTTCCTCTTTGTGGCAAAATTTTTTTATATATTTAAGACAGAGATGCAAAATTGAGGGAGAGCAAGTTTATTAGATCACAGGGTCCCTTTCCTTCTCCCCCATCCAATCATCCAGGCACAGGGTCCTTGGTCAGTTGGTAGGTTCAACCTGGAGGCCACTGGAGCTGTCGGCCCCCAAGTACGTGAATGTGCAGGTGATACACAGATTGTGCTCCCAGCTTCCCATCATTGATCACTGAAAGGGAGCTTGGGGTTAGTGAGTCAGGACCATGGGAAAGGTCAAAGAATGAAGATCATATTGAGAAGTAGGTATGAGAATTCATCGGTGAAGGGGCTCAATGGCTAAGCCACTCACCAAGTCGGTATCCATCTCCCAGCCCCTCAGTCTTTGCTGTCTTCTTGGCCACAAGGAGAAGGTGTCCTAGAAGCTACAGGGAAAGGGGAGGGAGACAGGTGGCTTTATTTATAAGGAGCAAAACCTCTAGCTGAATCCAGGGCTTCCCCCAGCCAAACCCTTGTCCTATTCTCCCCACCTGCTGGTCTTCTTCTTCAGCCTGGCTAATCCGAGGAATGGGCTTCTTGGGAATGACCAGGAAGTGCACAGGAGCCTGAGGAGCCACATCACGGAACACGAGACACTGGGAGCAGTGACAGGCCAGAGGGCACCGTGTTACTTCCACAGGCTGGATGGTATCTATGAAATCCCTATGGGATGGGTCCTAAGGGCACCCCACCTGCTGGTCCTCATACAGAACGTCAGCTGGAAGGCTTCCATCCAGGATCTTAGAGAAGATGGTTGGGGCTGTTCCCCTAGGAGCTGCCTGCTGGGCCTTGGTCACTTCATTTCCATCATTCACACCTGCAGCTCCTCGGACCTGAAGGTGGGTCAAAACCGAGGGAGAGAGTTGGGGCTGACAGAAGCTGGGCTCTGAAGGTCATGGACGTCACCCTTCTAGGAACCTATTCGTGGTTCCCACACCAAGGAACAGTTCTTCAGTTGCAGACCATCCGCAGCAGAGAGTAGGGCCAGAGTTAGATAACAGGCAGTACCGTAATGGGACTCAGCAGCAGTCCCAGTGATTTCTGCTTCTAAAATGTCTAGGAAATTTAGCACTGTTCAGGGGAAAGATCCAGAATGAGAACCTGGAGACTTAGTTCCCTTAGTTCCTATTTACTAGTGATTTGCCTTAGAAAAAATCCCTTCTCTTGGCTTCAAATGTAAAATACAGGGAGCGGTTTACATCATCTTTTAACACTACTTGGAGTTCTTTCCATATACTCTCACCTTGTTAACGTTGCCACTGAGTTCCATTATTTACTTTCTGATCTTTAAGCCATGTTACCTGTTTTATTCAGATTTTAATACATTTGCCTTTTGACACAAGGGCGTCTAGGTGTCACATGTGCCCTTTGACAGTGAATTTTAACTCCAGGCCCTGAATCAGTGGAAGAGTTCAGTTCCGTGAACTCGGCCCCCGGGGATTGAGGGAAGGCAAGTCCCGGTTTCCCACCAACTCAGAAAGGCTTCTCAAGTCGGTGCTGTCACACTGCGGGGGAAGGACTGGCTGAATCTGACCCCTCCAGGCGCTATGGCCAAGTGGGGAAGACGAGAGGCTAACGCTGGGACTCAGCAGAAGGCCAGGAGCCTGCAGGGCAGCAGACAGGCTGCAGGGAGACGCGGAAGCTCCCTTCCTGCAGGGGGCACGAGGGGGCTGCCCGGAGCAGGCGTGGGGTAGCTGGGCTTCAGGCGGGTTTAGGAGGCAGCAGCCACTGC